CAGATGGACAGCTGAGCCACCTCCACAGGACAAGACTGGAGACAGGACAAGACTTCTGGACAAGACAGGACAAGACTTCTGAAACGTTTTCAAGTAACTTAAAGAAATCCAGACGCTTTTCTTTGCAAGCTCCTTTGGCCTTCCTTATAATTGAACCTCATAACTTTGTCTGTTGTTTGCATTTTACTCTTTATCAAATAATAATGGACTTTTCTTTCTCTGCGTGTGTTACTAGTCTGTGTAATACTGCTGACTGTACCTTGGTCAGGACTCTGTTGCTAAAGAGATTTTTAAACTTTGCTTTTTAATTCGTTTGGCCGATTGTGTCAAACCTGCACTGGTGCACTAACTTCAGACTCTCTATTGTTTCTGTGAAGGTGACAGTGTGTTGATGGGAGGTTGAGCACAGGGATGTGAGCGGACCGGTAAAGATGACCCTGCTGGCGGGTGATGGCTCTGACTATGACTACAGTGCCCTGAGCTGTGCCTCTGATAACTCCCTCAACCCTCCCATCCCACAAGAGAAGGAGGCTCACAAGGGAGCCTTCTATAAAAGGGCGCAGCCTGCCCCTGATCTCAGCACCATCCACGATAACACACTCCTGTCCAGTGCCCGTAAACTCCACGCCATTATCAACGTGGGTGGCCTGCGTTACCAGCTGCCTTGGACCACCTTAGAGGACTTCCCCTTGTCACGTCTGGGCCAGCTGCACCTCTGCAGCAGCTTCGACGAGATTATGCGCATCTGTGATGACTATGATGTCACACACAACGAGTTCTTCTTTGACCGCAGCCCCTGTGCCTTCCGTAACATCCTGACCTTTCTGCGGGCGGGCAAACTGCGGTCCCTCAGGGAGATGTGCGCCCTCTCCTTCAGAGAGGAGCTGCTGTACTGGGGGGTTCCAGAGGAGAGCCTGGAGTGGTGCTGTCGCAGGCGTCTGCTGCAGCGCATGGAGGAGTTTGAAGCCATGGAGAGAGCAGAGGAGGAGGAAGAACTCCTGGAGGATCTGCTGGATTCAGACAGCGACCACAGGGGACGCGCGGCTGAATCTAGACTCAGTCGGTGCATGGCTAAGCTGAGGGACATGGTGGAGAGGCCTCACTCTGGCCTCCCAGGGAAGATCTTTGCTTGTTTGTCCGTGCTGTTTGTCACCATCACTGCCATCAACTTATCCATCAGCACCATGCCGGCCATGAGGGAGGAGGAGGAGTTGGTGAGTAGAAACGTGATGTTTAACACAGCACATGAAGATTAAAAATGATATAAAAAAGAAGAGGTTATAAGGCTACAAAAGCAAAACAAAACATATGGTTTCTTTGAGGTACAGTTGGGACAACAACAGGTTTTGTCCCAAAGCTTCTGAGGCTCTTACAGCTGATAAATGTGGTTAATATTGTTATGATATCCAATTTTTTCAAAACAGCTGCCCAGAAGACTCAATTTCCAGTGTCTAAAATTAAAGAACTGCTTAGCTGAGGTTAAATTAATGATGAATCAATTATCTAAATGGAGACAGAAGAAGCATAAAAGTAACTTGTGCCTAAATATAGCTCATTTTTGAAGTATTTGTATTAATAAGGAAAAAATGAGAATATCACAAACTTTGCAAATTGAGTCATTTCATTCTAAATTTGACAAACATTTCAAATATAAGACTTCATTTTGAAACCAATATAGTTAAAACAGTTCACCAAAACTTGTACTCTGTTTTAATTTCATTTCTATTTATATATTTTTAATTCATTTTAATGTATTCATCATTAAAAGTGCTTTGCACAGCCACAATACATAAAGAGATGCCACCATACTGACAATGAATATGTGAACCCAGCAGGTTTATGTTGTTTTGTCTATCCATCCTTTTTAAACTGATGTATCCAAAGGGAAAAAACAGAGGTCATGTGCTTTAAAAAAAACCCTCAGCCATTAAAGAAAATGCTAATAATGTCACGTCATTTTAAAACCTCATCCCAGTAAGAGAAGGAAGGCTGCTGAGAGAGCCACAATTTTTTTTCCCAGATTAGAATAAATGTTTGAAGACGTCTCAGGCTGCTTTCATGAAATGCTTCCATTATTATGTCTGACTTCAATCACAAACATAATTAGCAGCCCAGCCTTTTTAGTCAAATCAAAGGAAAATTGAATATCCGAGCCACACA